ATATAACTAATAAAATTATTTCTCTTAATTAATTTATTGATAATGAATAATTTTTTTTTTTAATAAAGACACTGTAGGGACAATGTAGCGAATATAATCAATTGATGAATTTGAATGTAAAGAATTTTTGTATTTGAGAAAAATAAAGGTAATATAACTAATTAAATTATTTCTCTTATTTAATTTATTGATAATGAATATTTTTTTTTTTTGAATAAAGACATTGTAGACACATAATTCTAAATTAAAGAAATGCATATGTATTATTTTTTGTTGTAACTACTAAATTATTATTTATAATCTACTATACTAATAAGAGCCCAAGAGAGTTAGGCCTATAATGGGTAGAAAAAATGGCGGTCAAATTTTTTAATCAAATGAATGGCTCAGATTGATCAGATTTTAATTTTTCATTGAGATTTTCTAATTTATCCTTAATGAATATGATTATCCGTTAACTTTTCCGTTAAATATTATCTTTTCCGTTAATTTCTGTTAGTTCACCGTTAACTTGCTCATTGACTTCAATAAGAAAGGTCTTGGGTTCGAACCCCATTCCAATCAAAGTTGACATAATTAGCTCTATTTTACTCTTATTAAATTAAAATAATAATTCAGTAGCTACAACAAAAAATAATACATATGCATTTCTTTAATTTAGAATTATGTGTCTACAATGCCTTTTTTTTTTAAAAAAATTATTCATTATCAATAAATTAAATAAGAGAAATAATTTCATTACTTATATTGTCTTTATTAATCTCCAATATAAAAATTCTTTACATTCAAAATTCAAATTCATTAATTGGTTATATTCGCTACATATTGTCCCCACAATGTCTTTATTAAAAAAATTTATTCATTATCAATTAATTAATTAAGAGAAATAATTTCATTAGTATATTGTCTTTATTTTTCTCCAATGTAAAAATTATTTACATTCAAATTCATCAATTGATTATATTCACTACATTGTCTATTATCTTTTTTGTGCACTATTTTTTAATTAAATATCTAAGTTATAATACAAAATAATGCTATATATTTATTTACCAAGTATTTTATTAATACCATGAAAAAATTTAAAAAATTTAAATTAATAAAGCCAACCATATTAACTTGAGGGATTTGTTGACAAAGAGAGTATTTAAATCACACAACAAATTGAAGTGAGAAACTATCTCGCAATGTCCTTGTTTGACAATCAGCAGTTAGCGGATTATATTAGCGGATTTGACCAGCGAATTATATCAACGGTTGGTAAAAAGACATTTGAAAAAATTAGTTGTTTAAATTAACATTTGGAATGACCTAAGGGTATAATAATAATAATAATAATAATAATAATAATAATAATAATAATAATAATAATAATAATAATAATAATAATAATAATAATAATAATAATAATAATAATAATAATAATAATAATAATAATAATAATAATAATAATAATAATAATAATTGTTTTAATAATATTTTTTAAAAAAATATAGATGTGTTTTGGGAAAATTATTCTAAAAATCGCTAAGTGAGAAATATTGTAAATTGCAATGTTTGTATTTTCAGTGATTTGGAACAAATTATTGCTTCAAACTATTGAATTACCAAAACACTTTCTTTAGCATTTTGATCTTTGGGTTACATCATATTTTACCAATCAGATTGTTCATATTTATATTTTTAATTTCCTTGAGATTTTCTAATTTATCCTTAATTATATGATTATTCGATCCGTTAACTTTTCCATTAAGTACCGTTAATTCACCGTAGTCTAATTCTAATATTAAAGTCTAATATAGAATTATAACTACAACATTAATTTAATTCTAATATTAAAGTCTTAATAGAACTCTAACTACAAATCCGGCAAATTGTGTTGTGAGCACGTACCCACCATGCAAGGTGGGCATGGTTCCATATCCATAATTTCTATACTGCAGATTCATAATTTCTATACCTTAGATTCATAAAATTTATACTTTAGATTCCAATTGTTGAACTCTCTGTTTTCACAAATCAAAGAACTATATGTTCATAATTGATAACTATACAGTTTAGAAATTATAAATTTACAGTATAAAAATTATGAATCTACAGTACATATATTATGAATCTGCAGTATAGAAATTATGAATTACTGTATAAAAATTATGAATCTACGGTATAGAAATTATGGATCTACAATATAGAAATTATGAATCTACAGTATATAAATTATGGATATGGAATCGTGCCCACCTTGCAAGGTAGGCACGTGCTCACAGCATAACGCTCCTACTGCCGGAATCTCCTCAAACAATATTAGTATATATTTAATATTTTATGCTTTAATTTTTATTTGCTCTCCCTTATATTCCGTATTTGGTTTCAACCATACCCATACAATTATTTTATTGACAATTATAATCAATCTTGACTATATCATCTTGCATTTGTAAACTTAGAATTACCAATTTAAATACGCAAATTCAACATTCAATTATCTATGCATAAACAATTCCAATATAAACTTGCCTTGATATATTTTAAAATACTTATTTAAAAAAACATTGGGCATTATCTCAATCGCGCAATGCGCGTTAAAAACTAGTAACTTAATAAGAGTAAAATAGAGTACTAATTATGCCAACTTTGATTGTGATGGGGTTCGAACCTAAGACCTTTCTTATTGAAATTAATGAGTAAGTTAACGGTGAACTAACAGAAATTAACGACAAAAATAATATTTAACGGAAAAGTTAACGGATAATCATATTCATTAAGGATAAATTAGAAAATCTTAAGAAAAAAATTAAAATCTGATCAAGCTGAGCCATTCATTTGATTAAAAAACTTGACCGCCATTTTTTTTTTTCCATTATAGGCCTAACTCTTTTGGGCTCTTATTAGTATAGTAGATAGTAGATATAGTAGATATATATATATATATATATATATATATATATATATATATATATATATATATATGTATATATATGTATATATGTATATATATATATGTATATATGTATATATATATAGAAAAACGCTCATATGTGGTCATGTCATTAGGTGTGGTCGTGTGGTCGTATCTGTGTCGTTGAATCAGTTTAATCTAAAGGCAGTGGTAATTCTGAGAACTTTCGCGCGTTTTAGTAAGTGGGGGTGTTATGGTAATTACAGTGACCATTTATAGCGGGCGGGTTCTAGAATACACCAATAGTGTTGACAACATACACCAATAGTGCAATAAAACACACCACAGTGAAACACACCAATGGTGTATTCCCGTGTTATGGTAATTACAGTGGCCATTTATAGCGGTCGGGTTCCAGAATACACCAACAGTGTTGACAACATGCACCAATAGTGTAATAAAACACACAACAATGTGATTTTCCCTATTCCGGTGTTTTATGACAAGTTTACCCTTACAGTTCGCTGGGTAGTAGAATGTGCGCGAAAATACTGGAAAAAATCTTGATTAATATGATTCATTAGATCTATCTAATCTAATGGTCTATAATTGACCATATGACCACACCTAACAACATGGCCACATGTGATCACTCCTCTCTATATATATATATATATATATATATATATATATATATATATATATATATATATATATATATATATATATATATATATACATATATATATATATACATATACATATATATATATATATATATGACAAATAATATCCAACCCAAAAAGTAACTTCCATATTCCTTAGTCTGATAAATTATGCGTGCCATTAAGGAAAATTCATATAAATATTAAATGCATTTATTATATATAATTATCACTCGTACCAATATGGAAATATTTTTATTTTTATTTTCAAGAAGAATATTACTCAAACAACATACCATTATCACAACATTTTCATCAATACATAATCTGGTAATATTTATATGGTTACAATCGAATTAGAAATAACACTGAATTGGTTTTAAGAAAAAAAAAATAACATTGAATTTTTTCACATGAAAAATAATATGATAAATGCATATTTTTAATTTTAATTTTTTTATCATATTTTGATGGAAAAAAAAAAAAGAGAAAATACTATGCATATCTTTAACATTTTTTTGGGGGTTCTTTCTCTTCCATTCAATCAATTGTGATGTGGTAAGACTAATTAAATTTACCAGCAAATAAATTGTTTGCTAAATTATTGACATTTGTAAGTATTTCATTTATCAACGAATTTTTATTTGTAAAACACTGAAATCTATGTATATTTAAGCTATAGTTATTTAATTGGCCGGATGGCTAAATATATTGGTATTTTGTTATTTTCATGAAGTGTTTTAAATCTAACAAAACAATGAACGGGTCGGTCTGATACCATCATCACTAGCCGACACACAAAAAATCAAAACCTAAAAAAAGGGACTAAAACATCCATATCACCAAAATACATAGACTAAATTAATTAACTATTTTCCCAATTACTAAAATTGTTTTCGGAAACCCAATTATTAAATTTTATACCATAGAATGAAGGGCAAATTATTGAGTGGACCACGCTCCAAAAACATCGTCGTGAATATTATGAGTTAGAATAATGTATATTATGTGTTAGAATAATGTACATTGTGTGTTAGAATAATGTACATTATGTGTTAGAATAATGTACATTACATGTTAAAATAATGAAATATCTGGTGTAATATAATGTACATTATGTTTTAAAATAATGTACATTATGCTTTAGAAAAATATACATTATGTTTTAGAATAATGTACATTATGAGATAAAAATGTATGTTGCAGCTGAGCATGCGAAAAATAAAATTAAATCAAACGACGTCGTTTTTGGACCATGATCCACACAGCTCTGTGGACCACGGTCCACGCAATAACTACTGAGAAGGAAGCCGGTAAGCAACTATAAATAACTGCCCAACCATACAAACACCTCTTCATAAACACCATTCCCTTTTGATCATACACAAATCAAAGATCAAAGAAGAAAGAGTGAAAGTGAGGAGGCAATATCCCAGATGGCCAATTTTTACAAGGGGAAAAATTCAATTGTGAAGAGAGCAAACCAGATATGCACTCTTTGTGCTGCAAATGTTGTTACTATATGTTTCTCCATTTGCGGACAAATGTATGTATTTGGTGATGAAACTATAATCAATGCTTTTGAAGAAGAAACTACTATAGCACCCCAGTGCACACTCAAATGCACCGCTCACAAACCCCCAAGATATTTTAAGCTTCAAAACTGGACAAACAAGAACAACATCTCTGCTTCCTCATCATCTGCTTCTTCTTTCCACATGGAGAAAGGACAAAAAAAGTGTGTCAAAAGTCCCATAAACCCCCCTACTAATATGGATGAGTTTTCAGATAAGCTCATTGTGCCTCAAATCGAACAGTTGGAGGAGAAGATGGAAGAGTTCAAAGAGATTATGGCTCAACAATATCTATTCCTAAGAACTCAACTGAATGTGACCGAATCATCTGCCATGCAAAAGATTGATTAAAGCTCTGAAGATATTGGTAACTGATCGAAATAAGAATTCAAGAAATTATATTATTCATCAAGTCTTTCATTGATGTATGACTTTAGTTATACATGTATTTCTTTAGTATGGATTTGATGTTTTTAAATAAAATGAAAACTTGATTATTTATCATGGTTATTTGACGCCGGTGAAGATTGAATGCTAATTCTTTAGAGATTAAAGTGTGAGATTCAATTCGCCATAACATTTAACCTTTGGTGGCACTTGCAGTGGTACAAGGTGAATTGGGTAAAAATTCTAAACTTTTAGTAGTTAAGGGGTTAAATTGACAAAAAATTAACATACTAACTAAATTGAATGATGGAGAAGATTAAATGTTAAATCACAACATATATTTAACTAGGTTTGGAACCTTGTGGTCTAATGGTACCAAGGTTGCACACTTGCACTCCCATGTAGGAGGGTATGGGTTCAAGACTCAATGGATGCGGCATTAACTCTTTGTGCTTCAGTAGGTTAACAGTGCTTTCCCCCACTAGATAGCCTAATGATGAATAAACTTTTGTAGTACAGATATTAAATTCTAAAAATATCAAGTGATATATTGAGGGGTGGATTAATGATTCCGGATAGCTAATGACAATTTCACTAGCCTTAGCCAAATATGTTGTTGGGTTGAAGGACCACATTAATTGATTAGGATAGTGAAGATGGGTTAAGGTCGCATGACATACGATGGACCATGATGTAAGGAGGTGGGATGTGGATCGAGATTGTTCTAATTTGTATGGGAGTGAGCGGAGAATAAGGAGAGTTTTGATAGGTGTCCTAACAATCCTCGTTTGAATGAAGATTAATGCCTAGATTATATTGTAATAGCGTAACATATAATGTCTACTAGAAGAAATTCATTCTTCGAAAAGGCTCTTGATCTATAAAGGCTTGTACTTGGAAGACTTTACTTGATAAAAATGGAGATTGAATGTTAAATCTTTATAGATTAAAGTGTGAGATTCAATTTGCCCTTACACCTAACCTCTGATGGCACCCGCGATACGAGGTGAACTAATTAACAATTATGAACTTTTAATAATTAAGGGACTAAATTGGAAAACGATTAAGATAATGAAAAAATAAAATGACGTCGGCGAAGATTGAATGTCAAATCTCAATATACATCCAATTGTGTTTGGAACATAAGTGTTCTCCCCCACAACATAGATTAAGAATAAATAAAACTTTTATATTATAATAATTAAATTCTAAAAATATCAAGTGATATATTGAGGAGTGGATTGGTTCAGGATACCAGTCATTATATTGTGGACCGAAAAAACGGCGCCGTTTCTTTAAGTAAAGAAACGGCGCACCGTTACCGTTAACAGAGTGTGTATTTTTTGTGTATTAAGTACCAACTGAAACTACAGTGTATCTAAACTGACACTGCCTCACGTATTATTTTTATATTATCAAGTGAAACTGCAATTGAAATAAAATGAAACTGTAGTTGTATTGAAATAAAATTGAAGTGTATACAAAATGAAATTGAATAATAATTTCACATATTTGAGTGTATATTACCCAGCGAAACTATAGTTATATCAAAATGACACTGTAGTTCTGTTGAAATGAAACTACAATGTATATAAAATGAAACTGAATAACATTTCACATATTTGAGTGTATATTGTGCAATGAAGCTGTAGTTATATCGAAATGATCATGTAGTTGTGTTTTAATGAAACTATAGTACGTGTATATAAAATAAAATAAAATAACATTTTCACATATTTGAGTGTATAAATATCGAATGAAACTGTAGTTATATCGAAATAAAACTATAGTTGTGTTGAACTGAAACTGCAGTGTATACAAAATGAAACTGAATAGCAGAGTTACGTTTTGCGGAACAGCGCGGAACTGGGGGAAACAGGTGACGTTTCTTTCATTAAACAAAAGGACATCGTTTTGATGCTCGGTGCATAATTGATTATGCACCGCGGTGCACGATATAATTTGCCTCAGGATACCTATTGGGCTAGGATTTCACTAGACTTTTGCTAAATACATTTTTAGGGGGCAATTATGCTGTGCAACCGTGTGCAACATGCATGGTGCACACGGTATTGGATTCATAATTTCTATACTATAGATTCATAATTATTGAACTCTATATTCACAATTACAAAACTCTATGTTCATAATTTTCAATGTACATATTCCCAATTGTTGAATTCTGTATTCACAAATCACTAAACTATATGTTCATAATTTGATCACTATACAGTATAGAAATTATGAATCTATCGTATAGAAATTATGAATCTACAGTTTAGAAATTATGAATCTGTAGTATATAAATTATGGATCTATAGTATAGAAATTATGGATCTATAGTATAGAAATTATTAATCCAATTCCGTGTGCACCTTGGACGGTGCGCAGTTGCACAGCATAACGCTCCATGTTAGGGATGGAAGGGCGCATTAATTGATCAAGATAGTAGAGTTTGGTTAAGGTCGCATGCCATGGGTTGGCCCATGATGCTAGGAAGCCTCTGTGGAGATTGTTCTAATTTGTATGGAAATGAGGCGAGAATTGAATAAGGAGAATTGTGATTACTGTCCTTGTTACGAAATATTAGTATGAAAATAATATTTATGGAAACGAATAACAGGCACAAGCTCGAAAGGAGGAAAGGGATAGGTTATTAGCTTGAGTCATGTGATACCACACTATCTTTAAAACCTTATTTGCTATCTCCTTTTTGGTGCCATGATAAAACAAGGTACGGTTCTAAGTTTGAGCACTTAAACAATAGAACCCAACGAACAAGAAAATGGGATGAACACATGAGGTGTATAGAAAAAGGAAGAGCAGAGTTTCGAGAGGAGAAACACTATGATTTCTGTGTGTAAAATCATATGCTCAACCACAACTTATGTAGGAGTTGATGAATTAAATAACATTTAGCCATGTATTTACACTGATAATAAAATCAGTCTGTGTAACCTTGAAAACAGACCACCATTAACCTGGAGATGAATTCTAAAATTTAAAATTAGAATTAATATGAAATTAATTCTGTAATTGATAAGAATTAACACCCAGAACGGTACTCAAGAGTGGTTCGAATGGTACCCGAGAGAAGGAGTCAAAGACTACCATTCGGTCAAACCCATTTAACCGAATGGTAACTAAAACCACTCGGTTAAGCCTACAACTACAACCATTTAACCGAATGGTACATGAGTCAAGCATTTTCAGCCTCATTTTGGAATTTGATATTTGAGCTCATTTAATTCTCCTTTGAAGAGATCCTCACTTCTCTCTCACATAGGTGATTCTTTTACGAATATCCAGCATACTCACACATATCAACCGACATTTCGAATCATTAAAACATCAATATGCTAGCGCCGTGCGAGAGTCACTATTCTAACGAGGAGTGGAAAGGAGTTCGTGACCCCATACAAGAGGAAATTTCAATTTTGGTCTACTACGTATATGTCTGTCTACTACGTATATGGTATTGTGTCTACTACGTATATGTCTAGACTTACCGTTATACATATGACTTCGTACTCTACCAATCGTGGCTTGATTATCACAATGCATTCATATTGGATGTACAGGTCTTTCCCGAATAAGAATGTCCTCGAGAAAATGGTGTAGCCGCCATCCAACCTCTTTGTAACATTTGTTTAAGGCTATCAACACAGATTTCATCGTGGATCAAGCTATCACGATTTATTTAGAGAATTTCCATGTAGCGGTTGCAACAGCTAATGTGAACATGTAGCCACTTGTGGACTTAGAGTCCTTAATGTCCGATATCCAGTTAGCATTTCTATACCCTTCAAGTACAACATGATATCTTGTATAGTGCAGTCCATGGTCACGAGTACCCCTTAGGTATCTCATAACCCTCACAATTACCTTCCAATGCATATCACCGGGGTTACTCATTTATCTACTGAGTTCACTAACCAAAAAGGCAATGTGTGGCCTAGTACAACTCATAAGATACACTAAACTACCAATAATCTGAGGCATATTCTACTTGAGAAATACACTTTACTTGATTTTTGGTTAGTAAAACGTTTGTATCAAATGGTGTACTAGTCACTTGATTATCATCCTTGTTGAATTTTTCAAGGATTTTATCAACATAATGAGTTTGGCTTAACACAAGACCATCAAGTCTTCTAATGATTTTAATCCCGAGAATTAAATCAACAAAACTCATATCCTTCATGTCAAATCTCGCATTTAACATGTTTTTGATAGATTTGATCATTCGATCTTTACTACCAACGACGAGAATATCATCTACGTATAAACAGAGAATGACATACCCGTCTATCGTTTCCTTAACATAGACACACTTGTCACTATAATTTATTCTAAACCAATTGGTTAACATCGAATGGTCAAACTCCCTATGTAATTGTTTAGGAGCTTGTTTTAAACCATATAACGATTTAACCAATCTACACACATTCTTTTCTTGGCCCGGATACTATATATAAAAACAAAATCCACAATTTTAACTTCCCGCCCAAAATAGTCTTATGCTTTATATTAAGATTTGTGTAATATTGTAAAATAATGTAATACAATTCCTAATAGAAATATTGTTTCTACTTTCCTATTTGTACTACAATTCTACATTAAAATTCCTATTCGTAATACAATAAAAAAATATTAAAATTAATATTTTTTTTTAATATTTCTATTCAACAATATTACATTAACTCATTTTCCCGTTAAAAATTATATTCTCCATTATTTTTTAAAATATATTCTCCATTTATTAATTTTATAATTCTCCCTTAATTCTCTATTAAATTTACTAAATTTCAAACTCCCATTAAAACTCAACTGCCTAGCTCAATTATTAAGATTTAAATAAAAAAAAAATCCTTAAAAACATACAGGCTTAATTCTGCGGCCTGTATCTTCCTAATTATAAATCCAATTAAAATCAAACTCAATCTCCCAACTCCATGTTGTAC